TTTTTTTTTGTGTTGTCGTCATCATCATTTCCTCCTCCTACTTCCACCGCCGCTCCTCCTCCTCGTCTTGCGTCTGTTACAACGGTGCGAGTGAAGGCCACGCGTGCAGAGCGAGAGCGTCCGCACGGCCGACTTTTCTCCTTGTTGTGTCAATTCTTTTGCGGAGAGGAGCGTGCCTGCGTGCAGCCGTGGGGTGCTTGTGAGCATGCGTTTGCTGAGTGGTAGAGAGAGCGAGCGAGTGGGAGGGAGGGGGGCTCAACAGTGCACCGCGGTGCTCTGTCTGCGTCTGTGGGAGAGAGAGAGAGACACATATGTGTGCCTGTGTGTTTGCATGAATGTGTATGTGTCCATATGCTCGTTTGTTTTTTGTGTGTGTTTGTGTGGCGCTGACTTCATTTCAGCGGCCGCGCTGCGGTGCGTCTACACATCTACCATTCGGCCCAATATCAACGCACAGACACGGGGAGAAAGACAGACAGACAGACAGACAGAGAAATACACGCACGCATACCCGCCGGCAGCAGGAAGCGAGGGCAGATAATGCCAGCAGAAGGCNCCGCGCTGCGGTGCGTCTACACATCTACCATTCGGCCCAATATCAACGCACAGACACGGGGAGAAAGACAGACAGACAGACAGACAGACAGACAGAGAAATACACGCACGCATACCCGCCGGCAGCAGGAAGCGAGGGCAGATAATGCCAGCAGAAGGCCACACTCAGCTGTTGTGCTTCCACTTCCCCCTCCCCCCTTCTCATCACCATTGTTTGCGATTCAAAGGGTGGCAAGCATAGCTTCTGTAGCCGCATTCCAAAGTAAGACGCGCACATAAGTAATCGTAAGTATCTTGTACAGGCACTCGCAAGAATGGAAGCCTTCAAGATACGCATGCCGGAGACCGCCGCGGAGAGCACACGCCTCGCAATGCGCGCCTTCAGCATTGTCGTGGCCACCGACGAGAAGAACGGCATCGGGGATGGCAATTCCATTCCGTGGCACGTGCCGGAGGACATGCAGTACTTTAAGAAGTTGACCACAAATCTGCGTGGAAAGAACGTCACGCCGTCACTGGAAAAGCGTAACGCTGTTGTGATGGGCCGCAAGACGTGGGACAGCATACCCGCCAAGTTCCGCCCGCTCGCCGGTCGCCTGAACGTTGTGCTCTCTGCCACTCTCACGAAGGAGCACCTGCTGGACGGCATCTCTGACGAGGCGAAGCGTGCAGCAGCAGCCGACGGCGTTGTCGTTGTGAACGGCGGCCTGGCGGACGCGCTGCAGCTGCTTGCGGAACCGGCGTATGTGTCAAGCATCGAGACGGTGTACTGCGTTGGCGGCGGCCGCGTCTACGCGGAAGCCCTCCGCCCGCCGTGCGTTGGCGTGCTGCAGGCAATTCACCTCACCCTGATCCATGTTCACGAGCCGTCGTGCAGTGTGCACTTCTGCACTCCTGCGGCTGGCAGCGGGGAGGATTGGGTGCGGGAGAAGGCGACGGAGGACCTCACGTCGGCGAATGCCGCCGCCACCAAGTACCGCTTTGAGAAGTACGTGCCGCGCAACAGAGAGGAGGAGCAGTACCTGCATCTCGTCGACCACATTATTCGCGAGGGGAGTAAGAAGGATGACCGCACAGGTGTTGGCACGCTGTCGATCTTCGGCGCGCAGATGCGTTTCTCGCTCCGTGGCAATCGCCTGCCGCTGCTGACGACGAAGCGCGTCTTCTGGCGCGGCGTGTGCGAGGAGCTGCTGTGGTTTCTGCGCGGCCAGACGAACGCGAAGCTGCTGAGCGACAAGGGCGTGCACATCTGGAGCGACAACGGCTCGCGCGCCTTCCTCGACAGCCGCGGGCTGCACGACTACGAGGAGATGGACCTTGGCCCGGTGTACGGCTTCCAGTGGCGACACTTCGGCGCGGCGTACACGCGGCACGACGACGACTACTCCGGGAATGGCATCGACCAGATCCGGCAGATCGTAGAGACGCTGCGCACGAACCCCGATGACCGGCGCATGATACTCACCGCGTGGAACCCGTGCGCGCTGCACGCGATGGCGCTCCCACCGTGCCACCTCCTCGCGCAGTTCTACGCGAACAACGGCGAGCTCTCCTGCATGCTGTACCAGCGCTCGTGCGACATGGGCCTCGGCGTGCCGTTCAACATCGCGTCGTACGCGCTGCTGACGATCCTCATGGCGAAGGCGGCGGGATTGCGGCCGGGCGAGCTGGTGCACACGCTCGGCGATGCGCACGTGTACTCCAACCACGTGGAGCCCTGCCTGGAGCAGCTGCAGCGGGTGCCGCGGGCGTTTCCGTTCATCGTGTTCCGCCGCGAGCGGGAGTTCCTCGAGGACTACGAAGAGGGCGACATTGAGATCGTGGACTACACGCCGTACCCCGCAATCGCAATGAAGATGGCTGTGTGACGTACGCAATTATTTACA